GAACATCGAGAGCGACACACATTTCAAAAATGGTTATCCTTGATTCCGGTTAGTCAAAAAATTTTTAATTGCAGATGCAGTTATTTCCTGATTATAATATAACTCTTTAGACGTCTAAATTAGCCAAATTCACCAAAAGTGAATTATGTTTAAGCAATGCGATTAATAATTTGTCGACGGTTATCGATAACGAGTTTCGTCGTGTTGTACCTCTTCTCCGTCGATGAACGTGATTTGCAAGATTCAAAGAACGGTTTGAAGATACACTTCGGGATACAAAAAAGAACATTAACGTGTTAACGTCGTAATCTCTCTTTCTATATGTATAATTCATTGTTTATTCTCTTATATGGACGTCGAACATTCACATATGAACCAATAGTCTGCGCAGAGAATATACAAAGTGTATTGTGAAGTAAGATCATAAAAATATTTTTCAGTAAGATGCTTGTTGCCGATAGAGGAAGTTCTACATAGAAAAAAAAATTAATTTAATATTATTTAATAGTTTGACTTGGATATCCATTCTGTGATAGATTGATATCAAAACATGTTCTTAAATAATATTTTTTTCACTGCTTTTAACACTTTTAGAATATTGATAGAGTCACTTTACATAGAATATTTAGTTCTAAATTACTACTTTGCTATTAAATTAAGTAATAGTTATTATATTTATCGCTAAATGTGGCAGTTCAGTTTCAAGTTTTATTTGTCTGAGTGTCGCATTTAATGTTATTACAGACTGAAAATTATATGACCACATTTAACACTAAATGAAGCACGAATACGAGCCATAATTTGCGTGAGTGACGCTTCAGATATTCTGCACGTAGACTATGCGTAGACTTCCAACACTCCTATATGCTTCCATGCACCCACCCGGGAATAATCGTTGACGCGTGTACACAGTGGCGGAGTTCCGTTAAAGGCGGGAACGCGCATCGTGGTCCGTTAAACGTTGCTATTTACAGTAGTTACATGGACTCTCTACAAGTTAAACACGTAACATTATGACTGGTATTTACATGATAAGAGTAACAAACTCAGCAGCCGTCGCTAATTTGTTCCAACCGATGCGTCGATGTTCAAAATTCTTTTGTTAAGTAGGGAACTATATCGATAGAGGATGTAATTATTTAAGAAATTTTTTTTATCAAGAATGCGCTAGAATTCTTCTTAATCACAATTTCTTTAAAATCTACCATGTCACAGTTAAAGTTTGAATTCAATAAAAGTATACACTTAGTGTACTGTAGTCTGATAGTCAATGTATACAATTGCTATATGTAAATGTATACATTGTTGACTAATAAGTATATATATTTATTAAAGTTAATACTTTGACTGTGACATATACAAAGAAATTAATTGCTCAATTTTTATGAAAATTTTATTTTGGATAATCGTATAATAAATAAAAGTAATAAATAGCCTCGTTTATCACTTCTTTATTTTTAAATAATATCATTAATAAAAACAATTGCGCTATTATATCTAACATTTAAAAATAAATTCGTAGAAGGATCAAATTAGATATACATTTCTAAGAAAATTTAATTAGTGAAAAAGATTAAACAAGATTAATATTTTATCATCATTTAAAAGGCAGTTTTTATTTATTCTTAATATATACGTATATATGTATCTGTGTAATCATTTAATAATAAATAAAGAATATAATATAACAAAAAAGAATTGTAATTCTGTAGGTTGATTTTTTGTGATTGTATTGCATGATATTCACAAAATATTGATGCATTATAATCCAACAAGTTTATTAAAATTAGTTTATTAAGATTGGATCTGAGCATCGGTCTTCTTTGCGCCACTGTGAACACACATTATTTTTCACAGAAACCATGGCAGACCATATAACGATACAATAATTCGCTCGGAATTCTGCTGCGTACAAAAAATATTCTTACAAACTAGGTACGGTCTATGTACAGTTTATCTACTAATTCGTCGAATGATTGTTGCGGGTGTGCGTGCGGATTCTGTACGACTCATTCTCTCTCTCTTTCTAGAGTGAGTGACGAAAGAAAGATCACAACTTGTGCATACTCATGTAGTCGAAGGCTTGACACAATCAAAAAAGGTTGTTAATGTCAGAAAAGGAATCCTAAAAGAAATTATATGATTTGAAATATTTTTGTATTTTGTTTATTTATAAAAATTCCTTTTACTCTCATTTTGTACTTTACGAATGTTCTTATCAACAGCTACAGCTTTTGCAATGCTATTAATATGTCTTGGCACGTAATCTTCCGTAATGAAAGATAACTTTCCAAAAATATAATTTATAGACGTTTTTTTATGTCAAGTCTCCAATATACGAGTGTTAAGTGTTGAATTTAGATTGCATCCCAACTTGAAGTAATACTGCTTTCAACGTCGAATGAATGCATTATAGGAACTTAATAAAATTTGCTTATATATTAACATAATATATATATATATATATATATATATATATATAATTAAAAATAAACTGAATATAATCTTATATGTAATCTCTCTCTCTCTCTTCTCTCTGAAAGTCGCAAAAATAAAATTGTTTTCTGAAAGCAAGCATATTTATGTTTATTTGCACTAAATGATCATTTTACTAATTTATATACAAAACGTATATAATATGTAAAAATGACAAGATTATGATAAAAAAGCGATGTTCCCGGTTTTAGCTTTTATTCTGGTCAAGAAAATATCTAACAAATATTTTCAACATCACATTATTAGATTAAAGTTGAAACGATTTGTTTCTAAAAAAAGTTTTTAAAATCAATTATTTAAATCAATCATTCAAACGTTTTTACTTTTCATTTTTATGTCTATTAATCATAGTGTTTCGATTCTTGATATTTATATATAAATGAAACAAAATTGTGTCTGTAACAATCGTATATGTAAACGAAAATATTTAGATAAAAAACGGTGTAGAAAAAGTAAATTTTTTTATTATAAATTTTACGTTTGAATAGAAATCAAGCCAATATAAATAACAGATAAATTAAAAAAGTAAATTGAAAAACTAGAAGGATGACATACATCAAATGACATTGAAATATGTGATTCATTCTGTGTTTATTTTAAAAACGCTGTGCGTTGTATATCTGAACGAAAATAACGAAGTATTTTCAAAAAAAGATTTCATTCCACTGATAATCCGTAATCAATTTCAATTCACTGATAATCCATTCTTGAAATTGGCATAAGAAGTTAATCATGTGATATTTGAAGCCACGTGAACCAATAGAAATTAAAAATAATGGTTCCGTTTTAATATTTATATTTTCTTTAAATTTGTCGTCTTTCAAAATGGGATTTGTATTTGTTAATAGACAACTCCGCGTGAATATGAAAAAATTAACATGTCATACGACATTATATGAAGTTATGCTGCATAAAAAATTTAATTATTTGTATATAAAATTTCTTTTATTAGTTGTATTAGCATCTTTAGGATATGCACTATACATATAGTTATTTGCAATGAATTAACCGTCTAAGTTAGATACTCATTATGAAATTTCACTATTTGATGTTACAATTGTTAAATCGTTATTATCGCGATAATATTTGATAAATTATATTTGAACAAATTTAATTATTACTTTAGCCACTCATTTTTTATTAGGAGCACATTATTCATTTATTCATCAACATTTAATTTTTTAAATTTTGAAAAAGGTTTTGTCATTAAGAGGTTAAAGTAAAATTATAATGTATGTATAAAAAGTCAAATATTTTGCACAATTTTTATATGGCTTCCCACTAAAGCAGTGATCAAATATGGTAGTCAAGAAATCAGGATCACGGGAATGGTAGTAAAGCGAAGAAAAAACTTAAAACAACAAAATAAATATATATATTGTTATTTTCAACATGCTGGTTGCATTATAGATTAAACAAAACAGAAAAGAAAATATATTTAAGTATATTTAATGATATACGCCGACGATCTCCGTGGTTTCGCCATCGACCATTTAAAATCAAACAATAGTAATTAAAAAAAAAAGGAGAAAGAATAGAGAAAAATAAAAGAACTGAATGAAAAAGAAGATTAAGAATAAACGCAGAACGGCGTTACACACGGCGATAGAAGGCGAATACCATCGCATACGCACATTCACATCATATGTATACATATTTTGTACGTATACAGAGATGTGTACACATAAGAAAAACATACATTTAATGCCCGAACACAGATGCACTTTCATACGTGCTACGTACATACGCGTATTCGAAAAAACTGCCAATATGCATGTAAGATAATTACAGCGATGAGTCTTAATACTCTGTTCGCAATTCGATCATTCTTCGATCATTAATAATTAAATTGATCTAATTAAAAGAGTGGAATTAACGCGTCTGTCGGAGTATCTGGATGATCTTCGTAAATTTACATATCACATAGATGTTATATTTAATATCCATTCGGAGTGGAAATTTGTCTCTCATGTATATTTTGATATAATTATTGACAAATGGGTCAATTATTTGAGAATAAACATGAGAAGTTATAAATTTATAAAAATATCGGTTTAAAAAATTTGTTTTGTAATTAATTATCTTTCATATGATTAAGTACTGCAATTGTTTAAGTACTGAATACCGCATCATTTGCCTAAAGCGTTTAACATGTTGAGTGATAAATACAAATTATTGGAATACTGACCGAATTTCGATGTTCTACATATTGGCATACGTTACTCATGAATCGTATGAATACATTTTTGCTATTATCAAAGATTTTAATTAGCCAACATTTTAGTTAAACCAACCATTAATTTTTTTCCTGTGATTAATTCTGTTTTCCTTTTGTCCATAAAATTAAAATAAGACTTCAGCAATGTGTTTACATATAATAATCGACACTCAACATATTAAAATCAAGAGTACAGATTTTATATGCATTCAATTTGACATAATTCATCATCTCGACAGCGACACATTCCCATCTTTTAATATAAAATACATACATTTTGTTTCAGACGGAGAAACGCGGTGGACGAACAAATTAAAAAAAAAACAAAAATTTAATTTATAGCATATAAGAAAACAAAAATAAAAAAGCATGACAAAAGATTGTTAACGATGCAAATACCGCGTATATTCAACAGTATAACATTAATCTTACAAAATAATAACTCAAACATTTAAAAACAAAAACATATTCTACCAACAGAAATGTAAATTACACGCATAATTGTAAAAATCGAATAATAATAATTCGGATAGACGGTTGTCATTGAAATGTTGGTCGAATAGGATCACAGAATTGGTCGGCTCGTATGCGAAAGAAAAAAGAGAAAAGAAAATACTTATATTATTAATGCGACACGAAATTAGTTAAGTATTATTTATAATATTTTCATAAAATAAACAATATAAAAATAATGATAATTGTTATATAATAGTTAAGAATAAAGACTGATATTAATAATACAAAAATTGTCTATCTATTCATTCACATTTTTTAAGATACAAAAATCTTTGTGTTTATATCTCTTATACAAAAAAATAATAACATTTTATAAGCTTTGTTACTGAAATTTGCAAGTACTTGCAACTATTTTGACAAATGTTAAAAAACATTTCGTTTTTGCATTTTACCAACCAATTAGTATTCAATTAGGTAAATAGCATAATAATATAACGACTATAAGAAATAAAAATAAATCATTCGTTATAAGTACATTATACCGTACTGTTATAATAGAAACTTTGTTTATGGAAATAATTATCTCAAATAAGTGATCCTTATTTGACCATTCATTAATCGTATGCGATTCGTTTTTACAGTACATAATTCTTTATATATTAGCGTCCTGTAAAAACGGACATAAAAGTATTTAGATGATTCTGACCTAAACTGATAGTCTGCCATTGTTGTACTAAATTTGCGAGCGATCAATATTAGCAACAATAACAATAAGATGATAATCACGATTGCTGTCGCAAAATGCTAGTAATAATATATATAAAAGTAATAGAAGTCATAATAATAATAAATGCCAATGTAATATCGCCGTCATTGGCAGAAGTAGTAATAATATAAACATATAATACTAGTAATAAAATAATAATGACCATACAGTAATAATAGAATAGTAGCAATAATAAGAATTCTTATAATAATAATAATAATCAAATTAGAACAGATATAACTAATAAAGAGATAGACATAGCAATAATAATAGCCATAATAAACGTAGTACTAACAACAACGCACGTGCTGAAGAACAATGATGAAAATGATACGAACATAGAAGCATCTTTCAATCATTAAACGATATTTGTGACTAGGCTCTATTTGTATATACGCACAAAATTAATGTGTACGCGTGCTCATTTCCTATTGTTAGTTAATCGATTATTGATTAGTGTTAATCGTCTACGCTATTTAAGTTTAAATGTTAAATATCAAATTATTTCTCTTTTTATAAAATTTATAATATTTTACATATAATTTTGAAATAGTTATACAGCACAAATATTTAAGGGACATTCTAAAGACGTCCAGAATATGTCCTACAGCCTGAGAACGTCCCTAGCATATCCCTCAGATGAAGTATGCTGTATGGGATATATTTGCTATTTATATGTATAGCAATCATTTGTACGCATATCAAAAAACTATTTTGAAGCTTTATGTGGCTTTTGCCGATTGATTTATATACTGTCTGAATAGTTTGGAATTTATGATTTATAATTTCAAATATTTGTTAAAATTTATACTTAAATCGATTTAAAATATAACAAAATAATTTTTTAATTTTTAGCATTTTTATATATATATTAATAAAATATATAATTTAATGTTTTATGTTTTTTAAATACACATAATTCAATAATAAACTTAATAACTTGAATTTATCATTACATATGAGGCAATAATACGATATTCTATACGTAAGCGTTCGATTTGCCTGTAATTCCGTCAATGCGCCGTTTATTTGGTCTGACGTATGTGTGCATATTAATGTTGTTGATGACAAAACAAGACTATGTACACTTAATCGTAAATGACAAGTAATTATAATGCGAAATAACAGAAATTATTCTGTTTTCCAGGATATCTCAAACAATTATATGTAAATTCATCTAATATATATATATATATATATATATAATATAAATGATAAATGAGCTGTACGATAACATTATTCTAGCTCACTCATTATTCTAGCTATAAAATATTTCAAAGAAAAATATAGTGCAATATACAACCATTATTTTCAATCGATAACAAAAATAGTTACTGTCATTTAATAATTTAGTGTACGCAAACTTGTTTTGCTTAATATAGACAAGACTATGCGAGAAAAAACAAATCAAGGGCTATGTATTTTGTCAAAGTGAAAGTTGGATTGCAACTATAAAAGATGATGATAATATAGTACGAGGAAGTTTCATAAGATAGTAGATAACACAGCGGGTCGCTTGGATAATGTAGCGGACAAATTCCAAAAAAAAAAAAAAAAATTAAAAGTCTGAAAGATAAAGATATTTTATAGATGTTTTTCAGTAGTTTTTAAATTTCTTTCTCTCTTGTTTCGAATGTGTTTTCTATAAAATAATTAAATTTAGCATTTTATGAATCATTTTTATGAATCTCTAAATATTAATTGATCAGAACTTCAAGTAAATAAATTTTTTATAACTTAATATTATTTAAAATTGGTTACAAAACTATTTTAAAGAATCAAAATACTAATTAAACAACTTGAGTACAAATTTTGTTTATTTATATTTTTATCATAATGAGATCCAAATAAATAAAAAAATAATACTTTCAAAGAGAATGAATCATATATGAGAGAAGAAATTTTAACTCAGATTTTACAAAATATTAATTCTTAATATGTGATGTAATTCAATTACACATGATCGGTTTAAAACTGTCTGACATTTTAAATTAATATCCACGAAGACATTTTTAATGCCAATATTTAAATTAATTTTTTTTATAATCATCAATTCTGTATATATATTCTTGCTATGATCTTGATTTAATTCATTCGAATACAATCATCGTACAGTTTGTCATGAAACCAATTTTCGTGATGTTTGTCTAACTAAAAATAGTGATTTATCACGTTGAAAATATTTCATTCTAAATTTATATCTTATCTGCACTTAAAAGCAAGCTTGTAAATCTATTTTATTCAAAGTCAATTGTATTAATTGCAACATAAATATACATTTGTCTTCTTTCGATAAGTTATAATAAGAATTGTGATCATCGTTTTAGAAATAATGCAAAAAGAAATCTTACATAGAATCATGTTTGCTTGTTAATTCTTTTAATTATTCAAAATTAGTAAATCGATTCATGATCGATAGAACTTCCAAAAAAATCAAAATATATTTCTGTATACTTCCAAGAAGCAAATTCATATTCAATGTCAAGAATGAATTATCTTAAAATATCTTGCGTGATGCACTTATTCGAGTGCGTCTCTTCCTTCTGATTGCGAAATTATTTCGCAATTATTATAGCAATTCATTTTGTCTTTTCGTATTCAGATATCACTTGATAAGAGACTTTTACTTCGTTGAATCAATGCAGATAACCTGTCCGATCGATCTCATATCTAATTTTTCCTAAGATTAATTGCACAAAGTGCAATTTATTATTTCGACGAAGAAGACGATGCAAGTGTACGGTCGGGAAACTCGTCCGATATTAAAATTTATTAAAAGTTTGTCGCATCTTCTGTACTTGACTATATTCGTGAAGTGTCTTGATAACGATATAGAATAATTGAATGCACAAATGTGTGACGCCTGATGTGTTTATTCCTGAGCGATCCGGCCCAGTTTCAGTTTGAGACCACGGTCCCCTATACGATACAATCTTATCACAAAGTCATTACTACAAAATGTCTCTTATATTCGTTTCTTTGCTATCTATCGGTTTTTTTTGTTTAATTCTTTGTATCCGTTTCGTTTTTGGTATATTTGCACGATTTAAACCTAAGAAATCGCACGCGCGTCGGTCCCGCACGATCATTGTTCGTCCTTTCGCGTTTCCCTTTCCGCCTCCATCTCTCGTGCTTCTTCATACATATATTATCTCGTTTACACGCCCAATTTGCCGCGATACATACGCACATATGCATATGCATATTTATGTATAAACAGGCGCTGCGACAGCGATCCCGATAGTAGAGCCGATAAAAATAGTTCTCAGTCGATAATTCGATTTATGAACATGTATGTATAACTATGTATATGTATAGTTATGTATAAGAAAAATTTCTCGCACAGCTGATTCGCCACACATTCCTCGCTTGTCCTTTTGTCCGCTTTCACCGTGAAACGTAGAGCATCGCCTACCGTTAATTAACTATAAGAATCCTCATTGCGCTCTCAAACATACGCACATATCATACACACGTACACATATATGTGTATGTACATATATGCATGATATATTTATATATCTGTATATACATAAAGGGGAGGGGAGATTGGACAGACAGTTAACATAGCGCGTTAGCTTCGTTCGAGGAACCCTGGTCGGTCGTCGGTGCATCGCGTCCTCCTTTCTGTTCCACTTTCTCAGCCTTCTTCATCGCGCTCCTCCACATTTCATGTGCACTTTCTCGGCCACAACTTTCATTTGCCCAGCACCGTGAATTCTTCTGCATGTCCGAGGATTCGTCCAATGTTTTACATGCGCAGCTGCGATCGGGAGGCAAGCAATCGCTCGGTGCGATCGTGAAGTATGAACGATGTCGCGACTTTGTGGATAGGCGGTATGGGCGCAAAAGAGGTTGAGGAGATAAGATGAAGAGATAGAGAAGAGGTCAACAAGGCGGAGGATCTCACGGCAGAAGTGAGAGCGCGTGGGCGGGTGTTGTTCTTTGTACAGGCATCGACAGACACAGATAGACTGATCGAGAGACTGACCGGGGAATCGTGACTGATCGATCGACCGGTCGAGCGAACGACCGATACTGATTTGACTGAGACTGACATGGCACGGCGACTCCGATCGAGAGTACACGGTCACAACGTCACAGGCCACCTGCTGGCACACAAACAAACACACGGACATGTTAGTCACCACCACACACCAGATATGAAGATTCATCCCCGGGCAAACGCGCGCGGTGGCGGTTTTTTTCCGAGGTCCCGCAAAGACCTACCTATGCCCAATTGTCTTTGCAGACATGCATTTTAGATAATGGATAACAACAATCACATACGAATTTTTAATTCCTTAAAAAAGATTAGTTCCTTAAAAAAAGAGAACTTAACAGATTAAATATGTCATCAGAAGCTAAAGTTATAATTTTACTATTTTCTACGAAATGACTTTGAAGTATTGCTTTATTGCGTTATAATAACGCTTCGACAAAATATTTCACAAGCTGCATGTCTGATAAGAGAATTGCACACAGAAACAGAACGACGATTAGAATACATTAAAAAGTATATACATTTAAACGAATTATTTGCGGGACCTCCAAACCAATGACACCGTGCATCGTGTACACAGGTACTTTGCCGAATCGTCCTTTTAAAACACGAGCAACGAGCGTCCACTTTAATTCAGCTTGACAGACAGTCACAAGGAAAGAGAAACAAAGTGTTCGACAGCGCATTTGTGAAAACTCGTTGCTAATGTAATTAGTGAAATTCGCCAATGGTTTCCAGATTCAGATTACACAAAACGACTGTAACAATCATACAAATTACACATACAGTATTTTTTATAGCAATTTTATATTCAAAAGTTGTTTGTCATCAATTATACAAAACTTAAATCATGAATAAAATAATAATGAATAGAATGTTTGTATTGAACATAAATTACACTTTTTTACTTTCATGGAAACGATTGACTTCACCGCCTATGACGATCGGTTGCATATATTCCTCCCCCCTCCCCCCTCCCCCTCCCCCAAAAAAAATCACATGGCAATGTTAGTATTACTAACTAATAAAGCATCGTAGCGTGATTAACCATAGAAAAACTTAGTGATATTATTATCACGTGAGAACGTATCGAATTCTGTGCGTCTCGAACAATAAACGAAGGAGATACACGCGATATAATAGCTGCTGACATAATTACAATGAGTGAGATATACAGTTTTTTGTGTTTATCGCTCGTATTTGCTGGTTCAATTACCAGCTCAAACTACTATTATTGATATAAAGACCAAGGTAAAGAAATTAAAAAATTGAAAGAGATAAATTACAAAAAAATTACAGAAAGAAAAAACAGAGAGAAAAGTCAAATCGTCAAATGGTTACGAGGTACGGACTTGAACGCTGCGTGAAAATTCAAAGCGAACTAGTCTTACCCTCCTAGGGGAAAAGCTACGTTGTTAGTGAACTTCACGTACGTAATTTCACTTTGTGCAACAGTAAGTTAGCACAGAAAGCTTTACTGGCAGCCTTTGCAACGAAATGTAGTTTGATTGCATCATCTAGGAACGTGCCGCCAGGCTTGCACCTTCGAGATTCGAAGAGACGAATATATTTTCGAGATCGTGCGATAAGTACAGGCAGATATTACGGGTGAATATTTGAAAGATCCGTATTTCATTATCATTGCGCATTTAGCGTATAGACGTGGCTATTCGATTTCCACTGTGTGCTTATATTATATATATGTTCTTCGTAAGTAGATGAACCGAATTTAGAAGTGAATGAGCACGTTTAACGCTAAATGCGCACCGCTAAGGCCATTCCTAGGATAAGATTTTAACCCGACACAAACTTTAATCCGTAAATCGAGTTAAATTTAAACTCGAAAAATCTTTATATGTCTCGGTATAAACGAAGAAACGTCTAGAGCTGTTCTTTTTAAAAGTTAAATACGATTCTATATTTTGTGACGGCAAAAGTCGAATTAAGAGATTCAAAATGAATAGATATTTCACAATCACATTATGAAGCTTTTACATGCAAATTTCTGTCTTTTATGAAAGCGCAATAAAATATTCGCATATTCTTGCATGCAAAATCCCTTTTTTAACGAGAATATAAATAATACTCAACATATATATCAATTTTTTATAATACGCAAAAGCGCTTTTAACATAAAAAAACATTTCATTTAATTCATAAAAGAATTGGTTGCAAATGTTACTATTAATTTTGATTAATTATATCTCGTCAGATTCATTAAATCTGAACGAGCTCTAGAAATACCGGTCATAGTCTCTGAAATCGATCATCATTGGTTACGAAATCAAATGATCCGATATAATAATAAACTAATACTAATTCGTTAATCCTATTCCGTCTCCTGTTAAAAATTATTGAAATGGATTATCAAAAAAGCAGGATATCTATGTATATTTAACTCGGCACTGGAAGAGTTAACAGATGATATACGATTGCAACGTGGCACGGACGTGAACGGAATAAACAAATTGTTGGATTAAAAATGTACTGAGAGAAAGTATTCACACATGGGCGGACCGGCAGGTAGAAGAGAGAAGACAATTCGGCGGGACAGTTCGCACAAGCGACACGTTAAAAGAATAAATTACGTTCCTGCACCTCGGAAGAAAAGTCAGTCCGATGGAGACAAGAGAGTCTTCTGGATTATCACAGCCTCGTTTCGATAGGACGGCGAAGGTGTCGAGCAGCGACGTCTCCTCTTCGGCGTCCGAGAACGCTCGATTGTAGCCCGTTAACTCGCTACCTTCGTGGAAAATACTGCTTGACTAGAGAGTATTGTGGAATACGGCCACCTAATACTTTCGCTTGTCTACCTAGACCTATCGCTAGACGCGATTCCGCTGCGGAATAATCAACCATCGCGGTTGTTAATTAAATGCACGAGCGTCGTCCAGACTAAGGACGTCGTCGAGCCAAGGTGTCCGAGAAGTCCTTGGTATCTACCTACGAACGTTCTGTGACGTCAGCTAGTACGGCTTGCAGGCATCCTTGGACCGTTTCAACTGGACCTTCAGTCGCTTCATGCCAATCTGGAAACCGTGCATCGTTTGGATCGCCGCTTGCGCGCTCGACGCATTGTCATACGATACGAAACCTAAAACAATATTATAAAATATATAGATTTTATTCATATTATGTCGTTTCACTCGTATTCATCACAAAATTTATCTGTATATTCAAATATTCTTTTGTTATTCAATATTAACTTTTTTATCAACTTACCAAAGCATTTACTCATGTGCGTGTGCTTATCTATGAAAACTTTGGCGGATATGACATTGCCGAAGGGCAAAAAGGTAGAAATGAGGTCTGTATCGCTAAATTCTTGCGGTAGGTGATATATAAAAAGGTTGCAACCTTCGGGACCCTCGATTTGCTTGTCCGTGCTGGTGAACTTGGTCTTCTGCGCTGCCGCCGCCGCAGCGGCTGCAGCCGCCGTGAACGCGGGGAACCCTGAAATCCGAATATGTTGGTGATGCTCTCGCTATATCATCAATCGCGGGGAATACAATCCCAGTTGTATATTTTTTGAAGTGATATAAATCACATATTAAAAACTTAGCTAAAAACAATGTATATTTTTAAATAAATAATTTTAAATCAGATCTTAATTCTACTAACTATTTCTCAAAACTCGATTTATATTACTTCATGATGAACAGTTCCTATTCAATACAACTCTATACATTGGCTTGGCACGTCCCAGCTTACAGAGACACACCAAACAGACTTTGATTTGAATTTTATCTGATCACTTCAGTCTACTCTGAATATAATGAGTAAATAAGCACATTATAACGATAAATAAAATGAGAAATTAAATATCCAATGATTTATAAAATATATACAATGTTATATATATTAATATATATAAGATGCAATTTTATAAGCTCTCCAATATTTGCAACCGTGATGTTATAACGCACACATTTTCACTTGTTCAATTCTCCCGAGTGTATCTTGTGCGCTGGGATATGTGGATATTTCAATAGGCACATGCGAACCTATCGGTTGTTTTTCTTTCAAGCATTCATTTGGTTCACTTCCATATTCCAATACTTCCAGCACCTAATTTGCTTTAATCGCAAATTAATTGGTCGGTTTTAAAATCTCGCATATCCGTATTGATTTTATATAATGTTCGATAGGAAAGGTATAAAATTATATAATCCGAGCTGATGCTAAATGTGCAGATATTAAATGTGCGAAAATTAATATTAAACGCAAAAAGCTTCTATTTTTTATTTAAAAAGATAATTATTACCTCAATATCTCTTTCTCTTTCTCTCTCTGAAATTTTCTCAAATTTTAATATTATAATCGTATTTCGTAACGTTAATCAGATTGTCTTGCATATATTGTATGATAGTTTCCTATCGTGATACACAAACACATTAATGCGAAAGTCAACCATATGAAATACTTGACACTAAAACTTGGGACAATCCACAGAAATATATATTCAGGCAATCTACTTATTACTCACTATGCAACTCTTTCTTTTCCACGGTCACCGTCGTCTTTCCAATGAGAGCTTTAATGCGCACAGTTTACTTATTAGAAAGTAACCCTTTGCATGTTCACACGGATGCAGAAAAGCAGTGTGTGGACTGCGCTTAACGATTTTCTGTGTACATTGAAAGTTGCTTGACAAGCCAAATAATTACCTGCATACTGTTGTAAGCTAGAATAAGCGTTGCTCAGCGAATCCTGAAGTCCGTTTAACGGGGTTCCCGTCAAGGAATTGAGCGTGAGAGATGTTACAGGACTAAGACTGCCCCCGGTAGACCCTTGAAGACGAATACATATTATTTTTTATCTTTCTTAATTATTAAATTTCGATACGCAAGCTTAATTATTTCTAAGGCACTTCTCACGTGCTGCGACATCGTAAAGACGTCAGTCGCTCTGAGTTTGTTATTATTATTAAAGGCAGAAAGCAATGTATTTGTGCAATATAATATATTAATTCTATCAAGTATTATTATTCGGTATTTGTATGAAAAAATTTATTTAAAAGAGAAACAAGATCAATTTTATTCAAAGATATACTCCTTATGATAATCTTCCTCCCTGTCTATTATATTAATTAATTTAAAAAATTGAATTTACAGTTAAAAATTTAAAATTTTAATTATAAATAATTACATTTAAAATTAATACAATAACGAAACTTGTAATAGCAATTTGTCATACTTTTATTTGAATCTTAATTAATTAAATTATTTAAATAGTGAATAAATATTCATATTTTTAAAGTTATTTTTAAAAATAGGAAATATACAAAAAGAGTTATATAAATAATAATCGCAAAATCAGTGGACTTTCTTTGGTCCTGCTAGTTTAAAACTGAATTGTGTATCAAATATCTTATGATGAGACATCAATTACAAAACAATTTCAAGTTGAGACTAGAATTAGTTTAAGAGATAAGAGGGATTAAAGTTTATTAAAACATTAGCCCACATGCTTTGAAGCATGAATTTTTATGTCAGTTCCATATCTCTTAAACTAATTTTAGCTTTAACTTTAATTTTTTTGTGATTGATATCTCATCAATAATTCATTTCGACACATAATTCATTTCCAAAATTGCACCAAAAACAAGCTATATTTGCGAATACTATTTAAAATATGCATAAATGAATAAATTTACAAACGTTTCAGTATGACATATATAAAATACTTCGTTTGACAGGAACTTAATTAATATTTTAATAGTTTAAATTTTAGGGAGCAGAGTGTCATACTTCTTCGATAAAAATTCGCTACGTAACAAGATATTAATGATTTAAATATATTTTAAAAGTATAATACTTTCATGCACGATAATATATAAAAAATCACGCGCTACTATACCCGGGTTAATTGCGATAAGCGTTTTATAAAAAAATTGCTCTTCTTTTTTATTATGCACAGGTATTGTTATCGATTAAATTCTTATTATGGAAAATCGTGCACCCATTAATTGTAATAAGCGTTTGTGCAAGAATATATTCCCAATACATCTCAAATATACACACACAATAATTTAGATCATATATACATATTGTTAAAACTACAATTAACGATTGATAGAGAATAAAAATCTGTACGTTCCTAAAAGCACTGACAAAGTCCCGCCAATTAATGTATTAATTCAATATGTGAACATTTTTACAATTCAATGTGCAGTACCAATCAGTTACTAATTGACTCGATTATTCATATTCGTGGATGAAATATATACATATGTACAGGATGTATTCATAGAACTATCGTTGTACGATTTTTCAACTTACAAAATTCAATAATTTGACGTTCATTACAATTTGCTTTAGCGATTTTAAACGCTATTTCCTCATTATTTTAAAAAATATTTGTCATGTAATATCTTCTGATTTGTATTTGAATTAAATTTTAAAGTAAAATTCACAATTAAAAATAAGAATTTACCATTGTTTCATTTGCAAGCATTTTTGATCATAAAAATTTATAATTTTCAATTACATGAATTTATTTTAATGCCATAAATAAACAGATACGAGATTCCTCATACATTGAAAAACTTTTTTAAACTTTTATAATTCATATACAAACACTATGATGTGTACAAAATTCAAAATATTGCTTGAAGTAGGAGAGGCTCGTACGTTAATGAAATCTACAGCCAACAATCAATAATTATCAATATTGCATCACAATATACAGAAAACAATATTAAAAATATATAAATGAAATAGAAAGGGAAAACGACGAAAAAGGAATTCGAAAGGAAGATATATAATGTTGCGATATACGATAAAGAATGCGAATCAACCAAACAATTTCTCTTCCTATGAGTATCTCACCTGTATTTCCTGTTTTTCCCAGAAGAGCAGCTACGCACGAAAAAAAAATACGCAGCGTTAAAATTGAGATGTACATTCACATAAAAGAAAATAAAAAAACGTAAAATATGCAATTATAATATAATTTGTTATGACATATTTAATGTGATAATAATAATAGAATATTTCTGCCTGCAGTTAAGATTATATTGTATACAAATTTACATAATAGCATAAATATAATACAAACTTGAAAGTTAAACAGCAAATATCAATTTCTTTGGAAAAATATCATACAATATGCTCTTATGTAAATTTCTAATTTATGTGTAATATTACTATAGGTCCAACTTTAATCTATCATTCTTTTTCTTTTCATAGAATAAGGTTGGATTAAAAATATGTTTAGACAGAAAGATGTGTAGCTTTACAAAGCACAAATAATAAAATCAATTTTCAAAAAACTCGATTTTCATGGATGTGAAGATCATTTTTTAAAATGGAATTATATGATTTATTTACATATAATAATATTCTAATAATTGTTCTACGAATAAAAGTATATTAAGATAGAGAGATATTAAAAAATGAATAGTTAATGAGATATATATTTTATAGTTTATTCTGGAATATTCTGGGATATTTTGAAATAAAATATAAAATATTTCTATAAAATATAGTAAACTATTAATTTTTTAATAATCGTATCTTAATATTTTTATGCGTATAATAATTAGATAAATTAATTGATAAAAAAAACATATAATTACTTCTAAAAAAAATATGCAATTTGCAATATGCAATTAGAGGAAGGGAAAGTTTTTTTACAAAATAATATTTTATTTTATTAAAATAGTTCAGTAGATTATACTTAGATGATACAATTAATTCTGTATAAGTTTTATCATAGGGTAGAGTGATACTAATTATACATATATGCAGAAGTTCTTATATATTACAGATATATTATATATAAATTATAGATATATAAAATTCTTATGCATAGAATAAAATAGAATACACAGGCACAATTAATTATTATCAAAAAATTAATAATTAATAGGATATTTTATATTTCATGTCAAAATGTATCAGAATAAAATATAAAATATTTTGTAAAGTATTGATTTTTTTATATCTCTCTATCTTTATATGCAGAATAATTAGAGAAATCATTATGTAAAAAAATCGTACAGTTTTATTTTAAAAAGCTATGATCTTCATATGATTATGCTAAATCGATTTTTTCGAAAATTAATTTTATCATTATTTGCATCCCCTCAAACCATACAACTTCTGTTGGAATATTTTTTATTAGACCTAGTTTATCATGCAAAAATAAAAGAGATAATAGATTAAAATAGGACACTGTATACTATGATTTTAATTTTTCGATAATTGTATACGTTTAATTCAATTATATTAAATTTACAAAATAAAAAACGTCATAATAAATATTTAACATTTTATGATAGGCTCTAGAGAAAGAAATCATTAGTAACAAATAGATAAGAAACTATTTAAAAATTTTTGACAGAAAAATTGATTATTAAAAATTGATTATTAAAAATATATACGTATATTCGATTTTTAATATCTGAAAATTTGTTATGTATTTAGTTCTTTATCGTAATTAGCTATTAATTATAGTCTTCAAATTTTAGAATGAATATCACTCCAAAGAGTGAAATCTCACTCTTAAAATTAAGCCACTTTTTTAAAGACTGGTTCGATTTTCACTCTTTAGAATGAGATTTCACTCTGATGAATTTAAAGAGTAATTTTATTGAAATGATGCTTCGATATCTCGAACTCGGAATAACCTTTAAATTACATTATAATCATACAAGAGAATCATAATCGAGTTCACATTTACCGTGAAAATTGATATGAAGATAGAAATAGAGAATATGAGGAAATTCAAGAAATGAAGGACAAGGGAGGGAAAGTGTAAGTACGTGCACATGCGCGCATGTGCACGTACACTATTAAATAAGCGAAATGGGAAAATCAGACCATCAACGGGATTAGGGCCCCTTTTGCGTGATCGAAATTAATTTAGTAATTGTTAATACTGTACCAGGCAATACGACACGTACATAGCGACATACCTGCTGTCGAATTCGCCAGACCGCTTAATGCTGAAACACAAAACACGTTCGCGATATTAGCAAAAGCAGAGTCGATAATATGTATACGATATGATCACGAGAAACACTTCGAAGCAGAATTTTTCCGATGATGGTGTTGATAATATTTTTAACTGCCACTAAACAATTTTTACAGTCAACGGCTTCACTTGTATCAAATTAATATGATGAATCAAATTGCAAGGTGAGTTGGATACGTCTGCAAAAAATATTTATAATCTTTATCTTTTGCTGCTATAGTGTAATATTATATATTACATAAGCAATTTAGTATTTGAATATTTTATTTCTAGGTAAAATAAGCCTATAAAAGCAATTTTGGATACAATAGTTGCAATAAATTGTGATAAAATTGACATTTAATTATAGATTACTACTATAATTTAGAAAACACACAATAAGATTTAATAATTTTTTAGCAATCATATTTTTCAGTATTTTCCATATTTATTATAATTTAATGTCTGGTTAATAAATAATTAAACTGTTATTAATTAAAAGATCTTATACACGATTTATTTTTTTGATATATATACACACACACACACACACACACACACACAGTTAAATATAAAATTAATTATTGAAAGAAATGCAAGAAAATACTTGTAATCACATTTCTGATCTCTTATTTTGCAATATTAAGATTTACTAATTCTGTTGACCGGATATAACTATTTGAAAAACTCGTTCCTGTAAATAACATTCTCTTTATGAGTGAAACGCAATGAAGCAACTTGCTACTTGACTTACTTTGTTGTTGACTTTACATAACTCATACAAAAAGC